AATATATACGAAAAGGCAAGGTAGCTCGATCCCAAATTTATTTGCATCACGAGAGATAGACTGCTCTCCAAGAGAGGCGTCTCCAAGGAGACAGCACAATCTGGTTACTCAGGTTAAAAGGCGTCCTTTGCGCACTTACCAGTCCACATTCTAAACTACAGCTGACTGCCAGGTGGAGGTGGCCATTTGAAAACAGTAGATGACAATATGTCGGTTGGCTTGTTCGTTGCTGATCAGGTGGCCGTTGACCTGTTCGACATGTTCGACCGCGAACATTTTGTCAAGTCGTCATCAGTGCACACTGATCGCATCTCCTGATCAGTAACCGAAGACCATCGACTTGGATGCCAATAATTTGCGAATCAACCTACGGGCGTAGTTTAAGGTGCGACTGTCATGTTGCAACCGTTGTGGACAGGAACCATCTAGTCCAAGGAAGTGACGCTGTATGACGTCTGCACATGAATATAAGTGTAGCAAACCATTTTCCTAACTAAACGCCGCTCATAAGATTGTAGAAAACCGTGCGACAGCCCACGTTCTTGTGGCACAGCAAATAGGCGCAGCATCCAAGTTTCCTCCAACTTTATGTTCGCGAAGTACATTCATTTGTAAATGATTTGGTCTTAACGAGATACTCAACTCAATCCCAGCTGAATCTCTCGCCTATGGTAGAAAACCTCAAACAGAATACGCTGCACAAAAGCCGCTTCGCGTTTCAGTTCATACGACATACGAGATGTTGCAGTAAAATATACTTGATGGAACACACAAGACTGCTGGGAATTCTTCGATATTCGACGACCAGCGCTCATCAGATGAGCAAAGTCTCCCAGTTTACGTCAGATTTTTAATAAAATTATGACCATGGTTTTGTTTGGTGAACATACCCACTTTACGTGCGTAACGTATAGCTATCTGGTTACATGTGTTTTGAAGGCTGCCGACATCTTCACGGTTTAAGCGCATAGTAAGTACAACCTTACGAAAGGAAGGTGCCTATGACAAGTAAATTTTCGGTTCTGGAAGGAAAGGAATGATGAATCATTGGCGGCTTCCAGTATGCTTGATGAGCTTGGGCTCCCGAGTATGAAACAAATTAAGTCGCAATCAACGGGGAACCGTTCCGGTAGCTCAACGGTATCGAGATAACCTAGCTGGTAAGTTACTGGAAACGCAGCCATACTGATGAAGATTGGTTGGAAGTTAAATGGAATGGGGATGAAGCTGTACTATCAACTTTACGTGTCTGTCCCAGCCATCCAACTCGACTAGATGAAAACTTGATATCGTCAGATCAGCAGATCTTACTGCTACGAGAAACGCCATACCAGCCACAACACTGGTTGAAACATGTACTTCGCACGTACTTCGATCCAAAGACGCAGCTGACCGTCGTCTGAGAGCTAAACACATTTTTTCAACACAAGAATCATGGAGACTCGGTGAGGAATGCATCTTTCAAGTAGTCAACCTGAAAAGACCACACTCAACTCAAACACCCAATCAAACGATACATGGATCGCAGAACACGTCCCGAGCGTGCAGCCAACACCAGTGTCACATTTCACGTACAAGCGAAAGAACGAATCAACTCACACATTCAGTTGAGCACCATAGCACCATCTAACTGAAACCTGTGATTTCTACTATCCCAGCTGAGTAAACCGTTGTTGTCTACGCCATGTTGCCTGAAACCACAGTACTCGCCTTAAGTGGCTACTATGCACTTACGAAGATGGGCTGGAAGTTGCTGCTGCATGGTGGAAAGGATGGATCTTGTTACGGCCAAACGGATTTTGATTACATGAGACGAGGTGCAGGTTTCCGTTGGAGGACACAGAAACCCGCATTTGACGGCCACCAAAAGGATGAAACTCACATGCTGCTCCATAGCAGAATGGCAACTAATTTATGTCATCCACTATCGTATTACTACAGTACGGAGAACGTACGTATTCGAAAAGCGGTACGATTGGCTGATGACATGGACAGCGGAGAAAACTCAAGACATTATGAATGGTGTCCCTGTTAGGAGGCACTCCTACGAACATATTGCAACGTACGTATCGAAAAGCGGTACGATTGGCTGATGACATGGACAGCGGAGAAAACTCAAGACATTATGAATGGTGTCCCTGTTAGGAGGGAACCCTACGAACATATTGCTCACATTTCTCTCTCTATACTTCAGCCTTTCATTGGACTGTTTGTTCCATTCCATTCCTGATTCTTCGAATCTCGATATTGGCTGTTCAGTTGCCGCAGTATAATTTCCTCAAGGCTTTTTGTCTTCTCAATTTCGTGTGCAACTGACAAGGTTGATTGACTGATTAGTAGAGAACATAACACTGGCGACGGGAACCCTTCACGAACCCAAGAATGTCAATTTCAGCTGAGGATTTGAAATCAATCCTTCAACAACAACAAGCGCAATTTGAACAATCGCAATTGCGACTTATCCAGCCTCTCACTCAAGTCATCAATCTCCAAACTTCAGTTTCATCTCAAAGTGGTAGTTCACTATCCTTTGCGGATTCCATTGCTGCAACTATAACTGAATTTCACTATGAGCCAGCATCTGGTCTCACCTTTGATTGGTGGTACAGCCGTTGGGAGGATACATTCTTGAATGAGTTCACCGGCAAAGATGATGCGTGGAAATCCCGTCTCTTGGTACGGAAACTTGGAACCCTCGAACACGACCGGTTCACCAACTTTATCCTTCCACAAAACCCAAAAGATTTGACTTTTGCGCAGACGGTGGACCAACTTCGCGAAATTTTTGGTGACCAACATTCACTTTTTAATGTCCGATACAACTGTCTCAAGTTGGCCAAGCGTGAGGCCGACGATTACGTTACTTTTGCCGGTATCGTTAATCGCGAATGTGAGAAACCAATTGCAATCGCTTACAGAAGATCAGTTCAAATGCCTCATTTTTGTCGCTGGACTTCAATC